GAACTCCTTCACCGAATCGGAATTTTTTCTGCTCCTCACTGAATGAGACGTTGTACATTTTTAAATACTGTTTTTTATGCCACATTAGTATCGCCTCATTGTTCTCAATGCATCATGTTAGAATTCTCAACACCGCTTATAATGATAGATTTTAGATACTAAATAATATAGTAAAAACCAGAATTGTGAACTCAAGGTATAGGCAGCAAGATGAGATAGCAGCTATGTAAATGAATCTCAGTGAAGTCGATCGAGTTATTTCAGCGCCGAAGTGATTCTCCTGCGCCAAATTCCAAATTTGTGTTGCCTCGGTGCTTTCATGTGTTAATCATACCATATAGTTGAGATTGTTCAAATAAAATTTATGAGACTTAGCGTAGACGGTGCAAACCAAATCCTGAGCATGGGTTTTCTTGGACGTACAAGTCAAATGTTCTTCACTGGTGCTCCGCTTGAATGATTAACACTGTGACACATCGGCTCAAATCTTCGGCTGTGGTGTCGGAAATATCGGAACGATATTCGTATAAAGTTTCTATCAAACTCGTTTCTCTAAATAATAGAAGTAATATAAAGGAAGAATATAATTACATAGAAAAGTCTCGGTTCTATGCAGACTTCGTGAGTGCATTTGGTGCAGTAGATAGAAGTGCTCAGCATGGCAGACAAGATTCCTTGTTCGATCTCGTGCTCAAGAGTAGCCAAACCTTCCATCTCTTCAAATTCGATAAGTTGGTACGAAACTTATCAAAGATAAACAGCACTAACTTGATACATCGGTAGGCCACCGTGAATCATTGTAGGCTGAATTTGCGTTCAATCACCTCAAACGTAGTTAAAAATTGAAGACATATGCATAATGTATCTCTTAAAAATCAATCAGCGCCTATTCTTTTTCATCAATCAGGCTTTATCCCTACAAAAACAGTAATCTTATCATTGGAAGGACTTTAAACAAATTTTTTTTTAGCAGTAAGGACTCTACTTGTGTGAAAATCCCTACTTGTTGAAACATGAAAATATCCATGGAATATTTACGCATTTCCAACTTGTACTTTTTTTCGTCGATATTGCAAAACTCATATCAACAAATACATGCTGCAAAATGTAAGACTTTCAAGAATTTAATAAGAAGAGGTTATTGATATGTAGGCGAGGTAGCCTTGATAGAGTTTGCACTTTTGAATGTGAGTGTATTTTCCAAAAAAGTAATAATCCTGACTTCAAACAATTATTAACCTCACCCGAAATGTTTACTTGAAATTAAACGGCTGGTACAATCAGCATCAATCAGTTATAATTCTCCAAAATCAGTACTTTTCTACAATTTGCAATTTACACCAGTTTCAGTGCACTAATTCGAAAATTTCTACTTCCTCAAACATTGTACATCTGATGTCTAAAATTACAGATTTGGTGAGAAAAATTATGATAAAATTATGATATTCCAAAAAAAGATGCTCTTTAATTCAACTGCATTAGGTAATGTCTTTCCAGTCTTACCTTGAGCATTTTGAGCGCTTACATCACCTACCAGCTTTTTCCATCACTCAGCACAAACATTTACGTTGTCAACTTTGTGTTGTAGGAGTTTTAGAGAGGTTAATTTGAGCGTTTGAAAATTTAAGCCAATTTGCCTTAGGTTTTCTCACGGGTGAACGTTATGTACTCTGAGTGACTATTTAACAACTCAAAACATTTTGTCCATCTCCTCTTGGCGTTGAGCAGAACGACAAAACAATCATCTATATACCTACAGTAGAGTAATGGCCGGAGATTGATTATTGGGGCCTCTACCTTAGACATAAAAGCGATAGCAAGAGTCGGAGCTAGTCGTTGTCCCATTGCCAGCCCTCCGATCTGCGCAAAATAATTTCCAGACCATCTAAAGAATGAGCAGCTTAGGCACTCTTTTAAGAGAGCCATGACCTGCCAAATGAAAAGCCATACATGTTCGTAGTTCTTTCGTGCTCCGTTAGAAGCTCGCATATGGCTTGCATGGCGAACTCATTCGACGCGTTTGTATAAAAGAGCGTGTTACGTCGAACGATTCCATTACGTACGCGTTGTTGGGAGACGCGTTACGTAGACGATCCAAAAACATTGGGGTATTGGTAAGATGGACTGGGAATGTGTTTTAAGTAGTTGGACTAGTATTAAGTTTAAAAACCCACGTTATTCTATCCGTCGGCCCGTCCTACCAACTGATGATGGGTCTAACTTTGAATTTGATGGATCAGTAGACGCAAGATTATCAGGACATACCAACTCATGAGTCTTAATAAGTAAGTACAAGACGGGGCATGATAGTGGACTAAGTTTTAGTTAAGAGATAACGGAAGATTTTAGACCAGCCAAACTTGCTATTTTTACTCATTCACTATTCAACTTTCGATATTGTTTTTGAAATTCCTTATTATATGATGGACGATAGAGGTGTAGTGTCCTCTTGGTGTTTTTTCGTTATCTCAACATCCAATTGATGGGGAATCACCACGAACTCTCCTCCCTTATCACTAACTGATAGTCGAATGGTTTTTGACTTTATTAGCTCCCGTATCTGTCGCATACCCTTTTCTGCGTTGATGTTAGGTTGGAGCTAAATCTTTCCGCGCGATGGTGGTTGAGGACTCTGAGAGTTTTTGTCCGAAAATATTCGAAAATTGATATCCACTTCATTATTAGGGCTTTGTTGCCTAAAGAACGCTCGAGGAAAAGGCGGTGTTGGTAATGCCCCTACATTTTCCTGTTGTTCGTGCCTGTTAGGTGGTTCTAGTCTAGCTTTATAGCGGAGCCGATCTTGAAAGTCTTGCAATTTGCACGCGATATTACACAGGGTTTCCTTAGAAATGGATTACGCTGGTGAGAAACTTGGGCCCATTTCTAAGAGCGAGCGCGCACTATCGGGACGAGTCATGCCTCCTGACACGGTAACCCTTGATGTTTCCGGCACATTATTGAAGTTATTTAGACTCTTAGGGCTTTCGTTAACAATGCATAGTGTTTTTGTTGAAGTTTGCCTATGCGAAATGATGCTGGCTGCACAGCTAATTCTCAGACTTGACTTGAACCGTTGATAGTATAGAGAGAATTACAATAGTAAAACAATGCAAGTGATGCGTAAAAATATAAGAAGTAACAGCGCCGAGACGGAAATATAGACTGTGTAGAGCTGGTTGGACCGAATGAAAAGATGACCAATGATGTTTATATTTTTTCCGTAATAGGAAGTTCGACGTTACCCAGTGTATCAGATAATTTTGAGACACATGACCTTTCATGTGAGTTTCGTGCGGTTGCTCTCTATCAAAAAGGAAGAGTCAAAAAATTTTGAGTATCCGAATAAGCTGTTTATCGCGTAAGTGAATACGTTTGAGCTTCCTCTGATAGAGTTATGATAGTATTTAACCGAGTAAATATGCACTTTAGAGGGTTACATAAACTATATACTCGCCTAAGCCGCAAATGTACCAATAGTGGACGTCTTTTCTTGTCTAGAGAGAGCAAACGCTTTTGTTTCAAGTTGCAAACGATCTTACGTATTTTTGTCTCATTTAAAAAAGGAAGAGCACGTGCCATTACGTATGCAAAAAATTTAGTGAGCTAAGGGCATAGAAACGGGAGAAATCTAGCTTCCAACACAAATCAAAGTTGGCCGAAAGTGGGTGAACGAGATTTGAAGTGAGATAATATTTGCAGTCATTAGCGAGATTAATGGAAATGCTTCCACGAAAATCTTTATGTTATATAATAGCGTTTACTCTTTGTTACTCTTCACTTTGTTCTTACTCTTTGTTCTCTTCGCATACGATTCAGCTGAACAAAATCGCTAATCAGCAAATTTCAGAGCCTTTGGCTTTCGTTTCTTTCTCTTGCGGCAAGAATAGCACCCAGAAGTACAGAAAAGCCAGTACACTCGCCAATCGGACCGGCGAGGGAATCACTTTCGCGAGGCTGGAGTATAGCAACTCTCGCAAAGCTTTGCTGCTATTTTTAAACCTTGACCCGTGACTGCCGTGTTAAGAAAGTTAAATGTTTACACTCGTAGTGAGGGAAGTTTAAACTGAACTATTCTGGGTTGCGCCACCGAGAAGGGACATATGAGGAGTTAGGGTGATCACATGTAGGTCGTTGTCCTTCTGTCGAGTCGAGATACTGTCTGATACTATTGCAAACATCGGCACCCGAGAACTGAGTGATCACCAAATTGCGGTCGTTAATGGGTGTTGTGGAAGCGATCACCAGGTGAAGAAACTTTACGACAAGGCACGTGGAACTCACCACCGAGTTCAAAGCGCACAGTTCCATATTGATCACCTCCCTTTGTACATAGTCCCCCCGGCGTTCAATTCCTACAACCCACTGGACGCTCCCCTTGCTAAGGCTTGTACGGACCACACCAGTGAAACATCAAACACATAACGTGGCTCCATAGAAGGTGATCGCGCCCCACGGCCACTACAGTTACGTACAGAAAAGTTCAAGAAACGATGACTCAGCATCGGGCGCTGTGCCTCTGCCTCTGCCCGCTCCTTGTCTTGCTGTTGTCTTCATCTCGTGCGGTCGCTTGTCTTTTGTTCCTTGCTTATATTCATTACGGACTCATCGTTTCGCTTCAATCAGTCGATTAGCATTTTATCATTACTTTCGTGTATAATTGCTTGATCATAGTCCTTTGTCGCATCAGAAGACATAAATTTATTGCTACATAATCTATATGTGAGACCGCGTCATAAATGTGTATATATTATTCGATATTGTTACTGTAATATTTCTGTTTATAGGTTGTTCGTATACAAGAGAATTATTGTTCGTATACTAGAGATTGATTGCTCGCATAAAAGGATCTAAAAGGACCCACGGTCCTTTGAATTGTTTCACTGTTGTTTGTTGGATAAATTAATAATTGAATCACGTGTCCGCAGATGAACGGGCAAATTCCTTAAGATCCGCGTGGCGTTAAGAGGCGTGAAACGGGACCAGAACCATTATAATTGTGGCGCATCGGCCGGGTATCGAAACCGGGTCACCCGCATGGCAGGCAAGCATTCTACCACTGAACCACTTTGGTCAACACTTTGGTATACATATATTGACTGTTGGTATGCTCACCTTTTGAGCTAACTGGGACAGTATGGCCTGCAACGATTTCGAATTGTACCCTTTTGGTCATTTATGGCGTTTGAACGAAGGGAAATTCTGTCTAACTTTTGAAGCAGTTGGGCGATAAGTGCTTCTGTGTTTGCGTATTTGGAGGTGAGAGCATGGATGGCCTATTGATAGTTATCACTGCTGAATTGGATCCTTTCAATGGCTTGAAGGGGTTCCCCCTTCAAATAGCTAATAAAGGAACTTTTGAAGGTCTGAGACATTTTGTGAATGTTCGTTTGTAGTGGTAGAGTTCTCAAAAATTGTCCCATTCTCAGATGTCACCACTAAAACTGGGGAATAAGTATCGCCGGAAGCTCCATTTTTCAAACAACAAGTGTTTTCGATAGTTTCCTCATTTTCACTTGGCAATTGGAAGGCTTGTGACTGCTCCGCTTGCTGCCGTAGTGAGTCTGCTTTAGCATAGGTGGTTGTATACTCAAAGGAGTCGTCTAACAAATGTTGAGAATGCAACGGTCCTCAATTCTACCCAACATACTGGCTCAGGATATTCCCCTAGTCTCAGAAAATATCTGGGGCTTTTGCCGTTATTCCTCATCTTCTCAACTACAAATGATCCAGCTTCACATTGGACCCTTGCGGCATTGAGGTCTTGCAATGTTATGGAATTCTGTGTTTATATCTGGTCTTGCTTAAGTTCTACCAGTGCTTTTTCGAGTTGCTTAGAGGCTTTTTTGAGTACCTCATTTTTGTGAGAAAGAACAGAACTATGTGCCATAGCTGCTCTAGTATGTTTTGAAGCGAATATTTGAAATGAAAATTCGGAACAGATAACTTGGTACCTGAATCCTTTGACAGCGAGTCTCGTTGGCGACTCGTATTCGAACAAAGTCGGCCAATGCACCAAATGAGGTGAAAGTTCAGTGGTCTTGTTGTTTTGATCTCCTGCCAACTTGGGTCTCGCAAACGGATATGAGTGCAAAGTTCAAATCTTTCATATGGACTCTACCAAACAGAAGGGTGGAATCAAACAATGGCGTGGTAGCAAACATGTGTAGAACCAAACAACCTATAATATACATGTATTACTACAACACTACAATAATAATATATACATGATTACGACATATCGTAATGCGAACATATGCCTAAGTCAATATGAGTGATCACGAAATTCCCGAAAAGATAGCAAAATCCCCTCGGGAGGTTCGCTATACACATCACATGTACAAACTTCCTCAAATAGTGTTTGCTCCAGTATTGAAAAAAAGCAACAAATCTTCTGTCCCTAACCTTCGTTTCAAGCAGTTTTCACTAAAGAACAGGTAGGAGCATCACGATTTGGTGGAGATCGAGAATGTATTAACAAATAGCCGGTTAAGTGGTAGCAATAATCGTAAATCAAAAACTCTAAGCATTTGAACTTTTTTAATGATGTCAGAGAGACGCTCAACATATAAATTCATAGAAGGCACGAGTTTGTGAGGCTCAAAAAGAACATGCATAAAAACCAACCATAAATAATCTGCATGAAAAAACATCTATATTTGTGGCAAGGTTTGAGGGGAAATAAACCAGGCCTCTCAAATGCTTAGTGATCAGAGGCCTGGGACGATGACTTGTAGCCGGAGGTTAGAGGTTTTCGAATAGTCGCCAAGATTGATTAGTTCCAAAGTTTCGACAAACCGAGATTGCCAGTCTGGGCCGATGTCGGCACTCATCTGAAAAATTCACAGGCATTTTTTTGTAAAGCAAACACAAGATTGCCGTAATACAGTTATCCAAACAGCTGACGTTTAGTGTTTTCGCTTTTTCTAAAGCCTGAACTTATGCTGTATTAGGCAAATTGAATGATTCCATTTAGATGATTGATGAAGTTGTCCACAACGCGGGTTAGCCAAACACCTTATTACTTCAACAAAAATTATCATATTGAAATCAAGGGTCGGTGAATTTTTTTTCTATCAAAGTAGTGAAGATTTTTGGATGCCTAAGTGTAGACAGCGTGGTCAGTTAGGTTCTAAGGAAGGTAAAACCGCCACAACCTCTGCTGTTTGAATAAATTGTAACACAACAATAACTGATTTGAATTTTCCGCAAGTTTTGATAAGTCATGTAATTGGCCAAATATACATCTATCGTCTTTAACATATGTGAAGTCATAGAGCAATGCCCAGAATCACCATTTCCAAACCTTGGGAAGTTTTCTTTTCTTAGAAGTCTTCTTTTTTTTCTTTTCTTTGCGAATTATTATCAAAGAGATTTTGATTTTATATAATGGTTCACATTATGGAAAATGAGTATCGTTCTCCACGAATCAATCATTAAATGGAAAGCAACTGATGATTTTTTAAGAAAGGATAGCATAAGACATGAAAAGCAACAATGAATGCATAGAATCTCATAGTGAACCTAATAGAGTGCTCATAGAGGTGGGAAGAGAAAGAGCAAAGAAGCACAAAAAGGAAAAATTCTCTCACCTCTGTAGTTGCTTGGCTTTTTTAAATTCTGGATTTTTGTAAGATTTGTGATTAGTTTCTGTAGTTAGTGACTGACTAGATCCGTTTGCCACAAACACATTCCTCTTCCAGTAGTGACAATGAACCAAGTGGCTGAAATTGCTCGTTGAAGATAAATTTTTTAGATTGCAAAAATTTAAGAAGATAATGAGGTTTAATAAGTGAACAGAGATAACACCGTTTCGAGCAGTTTGTTTACTAATTTATCTGCGTGAATCCTCGTTTTTTTCCAGTGGAAAAGTACAGAGTAGCTTCAAATGTAAGAAATTGCTGCGAAATAAATTCGAAAAGAATTTCCACACAAGAATTTCTATGAACGTTTTGAAAATAAAGTCATTGCAACCATTTTGGAAATTTTCCATCTACTTTGATATTCAAAATCATAGAGCCCCTCTAAATAGGTGCTATTCAAAGTAATACACATATTGTCCTTTCATAGATATTTAGCACGATCGGACGGGATGGACGCCAGAGTGTCCATGCACAACTGACCAACCCACTGAATGGCCGATCAATTGGCATTTCTTACTGGCCTGTGATTTCTTCCTTTTCTTTTACTTTTCTTCTAAAACCAAACAAAACAATGAATGCTTCAAAAACCAGCTCTCCGTGACCTCATCTGGAACTGAGGAAAAATACACTGCAATGATAGCACACAGACATGGCCTTTCAGTGAAACGAAAAATTGCGTGTTCTGAATGTGTTAATGTTCACTTGTCTTTCTGCCTATGGCTTGCAAAATGTTCGACGAAAAATGATACACAGCATGCTCAGTAGATGGCTATAATCATAAGGGTGGCCGGTGGTCAGGCGATGATCATTACGATAGAACCTGACGATGCACTCGGAGCAAGCCATTCAGGAGATGATCATCGTGATCAACGCTATCCGAGTCACCTTTCAATCGTTTTCACAAGTCTACACGAAATTTTAATATAAATTTAGGTACTTAGGTAACTCGCATAAATATTATAAAGTGATTCAAAAGGCTTTACTCAGAAAGGTTTGCCTCTCCATTTACAATGAGGTTTTCAAGAAGCAAGGCAGCACCGAACCATTGTAGACATCACCTAGACGTTGGCAGGGCGTTATGCAAATACATCACGATGATGCTGAGGTATGGTCAAAAGCCTGACCCTCAGGTAGATTTCAAAGTCATGACTACCAGTTATCCTTTTATGCAAATATTCCACTCACAAACGATCATGAATTGTTTGGCTCGGTATTGGTGATAGCATCGCTGTTCTAGAGAGCTCAACAAGCAGAGTTGGGGGCAAATTACCATTTCCAACTTAGCAAATAAGTAACTTTCTTCAGTATTCCTCGCTCTTCTTTTTTCTTTGCTATATTCCATCCATTTTCACATCATCCATGATCATGTTTACTACGCGAATCCCAGGGCCTGAATTCAATTCTTTTTCTGGCATTCGTCGTCCCATAGGTCCTTGAATAATTTCGCGTGTTATTTCGACTGCTGCCTGAGGAATTCGCCTTTTCTATGAATGTCGTGAAATGAATTTTTCGCAGATTCTTTCTGCAGTCATAAGGATGATCGAAATAGGGCATTTACAAGTGGTACAGAAGACTGTTTGAGATTAGTGTTGAACTTGTTTCCTGATAGACTGCGTAACGAATCACTTCGTATTCCTCCAACCCATCATCTATCTTTTCCGTAGAAACAGTCCTGATAGTCCTTAGAATGCCGATGAATAGCCTTTGATCGACAATGTGATTATGGCTGTCTCATATTCTATATAATGACTGCTTTCTACCGAAATGGGAGAATTTCTTGCTTAACCTATTTCTGACTCTTCCTGCAGTACTCATATTCATTCATATGTCGTAATCTATCTCTGCTACCAAAGCAGACTTTGTCTAGCTATACTGTTTGGTGTGAGTGAAGTTTTTTGCATGGTGTTTTGTTCAAGGCGTCTTCGCACTCACGCTATTAGGTTGGTGCAAAGTAACTGCGATTTCACACTGCACTGAAACGCAATCACGTTTGCAGTATGCTTCCAATATCAAAAATACTATAACAGTCGATGTTGAGCTTTTCTGCAACATTTCCTGTGGTCTTAAGAGGTTCAGCTGCAACGATTACTTTTCCTATGACATCCAATGGGGTTCGTGCAAAAGTAAATGCGGTCTAAGCAGTGTACAGATGCGTGTCATACGAAACTTTTTAAACCGCCAGTGCAGTGTACGCTCTCTATGAGTTCTTGAGTCAAATGTGCTGTTGATGATGCCTGTTGTTTCTGCTACGTGACGACCCAATTTGACGCCACGATTGTGGAACCGCAGTTACTTTTGCACCCATATCCTTTCTGTAGTCTAAAATAGATATAGAATAAACTGCAAATAAGATGTCATTAGCAATAAAACATAAAGAAATACGTATTAAAATAAAGTATAGCGTAACATTATTCGTCACATCAATTATACGTATTAA